GCGGAGCCAAATCGAATGATGGCACGTAGGTTTCTGTGAGAATAAATCCAAAGATTTGGAGGCGAATAACGCAGGAGGACAGTTTTTTTGCGACCGCACTGTCGGATCAAAGATGATTAATGTATGGCATTAGCAGTGAGGCTTCGCCAACACGCCGGTAAGGCAGTACCGAAACTTTGCTGCCACAAAGCAAAAGTAGTCGCGCTTACTCTAAGGCTAATGTGTTGGTCGTCTATTAGGCACGCACGCTTGAACCGGCGTCCTCGGAAGGCTTGGGATTCATTAACGCTACTGATCGACAATCTCTGCTTGAAAACAGCAAAACCGTCTCTTTTTTCTGTTTTATTGTACACGTTTGTGCACATATCGCCTACGGATCTAAAACAAGTCATATGCACAAACACATAAGTTCCTTTTGACACGTTAGCTATTGTGGTTTATGATGAGTAGTTAGGAGTTTGGTATAAATCAGATAATCCATCATGGTCACTCTCATTCGGCAGGCTTTGACCAGTCTGGGAAAGCACCAGACATCGGCGTTTTGACCTTCAATGTCTCGTCAGTGGTTTGCCCTATAGCGGACACTTACAGGGTTCCGCCCCCCATGAATATTGGATGTCAGCAACTAGTGCCCCTTCACAATGGGTGACAGCCGCGGACATGCATGATTGACGGTTGAGTATAATATAGCCCAACTCATCGTCCACCGCCATACCGGTTATGAACTGTGCAGGGGATAGCAGCTACCCCACGAGTTAGGCCTTTTTACCAGGTTATTTGGCACGGTACGGGGACTTTAAATCGAATGGGAGAGATTTTTATATCACTAAATTTTGGTGGGGATGTTGGTATAATTCAGATAAATCATCATGGTCCCTCTCAGTCAGCTAGCTATGGCAAGTCTGGAAAAGTACCAGACACCAGTGTTTCAACATTCTGGGTCTCCTTAGTGGTGCGCCCCCCCCCCACGCCGACCGTGCTGCGTTCCAACCCATGAATTCCGAATGCCAGTATTTAATGCCACTTCGCCATGGGTGAGAGACGCAGACCTGCGTGGATTTACCTGGGATTTTTTGGCAGTGAGTGGCTTCTCATTGGTATTTAAGCGTGGTTTGCCTAGTTTATTTGGATTACTGCAAGTTTGTGGATGTTGGTTTGCTTAGACTCAAATGGCAGCAATTCGATCTATCGCAGATCCGGAGATTAATTACGCCTGCCTGCCAAATGAGCTCAATCTTTTGGAACCGGGTGCTGAATGCCACGCTATTGGATTTGTCCCCGGTCACGTCAAGAAGTTACCGAGCTTAGTGAGAAGCGCGCGACGCTCAAGCACTACACATCATGTACGTCAGATAAATGACGATGAATGGAACCTGGACAAATTGCACCAGCTCAATCTGACTGTGTTGAGGCCCCAGGAATGCAAGGATGTTTACGAGGATCTCCGCGAACAGATGATAATTTGCGCAGTTTCAAAGGGAAAGGTAAGCAAATGATGAAAGTTTTGGTTGACCTGCATATTTTGTCCCAAGCTATACGAATGCATGTATTAACAGAATCAACCAAGTGTTGCTTAGTAAGTTAATTCATTATACTTGAAAAATCTTTGTTATTCTTCTGTCATTTGAAGAGAGGTGTTGCAGCAATTATGACAGCGATAACAGAATAATCGTTTAACGTTAACTATACAACTGTAGCTTCAAACGCACGTAAGCTGAACAAAGGGAAATTTTCAACAGATTTTAACAACAGTGCAAGACAGGTGGCTAGCAAATTGAGCCGGATTGTGGTAAAATACGGTGCTCTTAATTAAATGCAACAAGTAAAGATGGACGCCATTTAGCTTCAAAGAACGGAAAGCAAAGGTCTGTGTCACAGACACTTCGAAACCTTTCTCTCGAGGTTAGCTTTTCAAACACAGGAGTGGTTACGAATATCTATCGATGCGCAACCTGATGTGTTGCCAGCATAATCTTTAAAATCAAATAGCCAAGAGGTAACGCGCACTGAATCTCTGTGAATGAGTAATTTGAAATGATGCTTCTGGAAGATATGGTATAGTTTTCGTATCCCCTGTTGCAATGTTGAACAGTTAAGAATTCTTGTTTTTGTGTGGAAAACACCCTATAACATTGACACATGTTTCCTTTGGGAGTCAGTTCTTGAAAATCACTGGTATAGTTAAGGGGCAAATAAGAGACAAAAGTGGATAGCCCCAAACTACATATATGCTTTACTGATGCTCCAAACTAATTGTGCAAGCCATTTTCTCAAAGGTTTTTTGTGCTCCGGCTTTGTTTCTTCTTGTAGGACATCAGGACCAGCCCATAAGCGAGCTCGAGAAATAACCTGATCTCAATTTGCTATGATTTGCAATACTTCGCTGCTCAAATCTACTTGCGTACTTTTAGCTGTTTAAGCGCTTTAGCATTACTGGACATGTTAGAAGTTTCGAATGTGGCCACTCATTAGTAAAAGCAGGTACTCTCGCGCTTCATTTATTTAATATGATAGAAATGCTTGGACTAGACGGCAATGGCCAAACGACTTAAGATATCTTGAACATGCATCTACATCATAAACACCACATAAATAATTGCTGTCTACATTGTATTACCTTTTAGTTAGCGCAGGAATTATGCACCGTTGATACCGGCAGTGGCTTATACTGTCAGTTACCGAACAAGAACGCATGGTTTATTGCTGGTGTTGCAAGTTTTGGAGATGTGCATCTTTGTGGAATTTTTCCGGGACTTTACACTTCAGTCGTTGGCCATCAAGACTGGATTTGGCGGGAAATCTCCAAAGCAAAACGGAATCAGCCTTAGAAACATAGAGTGTTTACTGCTCTTTTTGCACATGTTAAGCGCGGAAGCAGGTGATGTGCGCAGAAACTTGAAAGCTGCTTATCTTTTCTTTATTTAATTTCACTATAACGCTACATAAACGTGCTGGTGAAGTTTGATCGATTACACAAGCGGACATATGTTCCGGGATGATCGTACTGGACAATTTACTTGCTTGTTAGTTAAATGAAATGAGTTCATTTTCGCCAAAACGTTTTCGTTATAATCCGATTTAAAGCACGCTTTAATGAAATGTTTAAGTTCTATTTCATGTGTTTGACTGGGTAAAACGAAATTCCCTAGGTGTAATGTGGTCATTATCAGCTAGATGTCTGATAAACGTTGTTGAAGATTTTGTATCTTATTCACATTCCTTGACGTGATATAATTACGGTGAATTTTCTTGCGACACCCATTTGTCAGATGCATCAGGTCGTCGAAAAGTGCGCTAGGATATGAGAAGGATTCTACGACAAAAATTTGCGTTTGACTTACGTTCTGGACTCGTTTGGTGAAATTACGTTTGCGCTAACAATGTTCCATACATTTGCACCGCGTGTATCTGCAAATGCAAAATGAGGGCCACATAAGGTTTTGCAGACAAATTTCGTTCGGATATGGCAGAATAAAATAATCAACACACAACGCATTATGGTTTGGCAAATCAATTCAACAATTTGTTTTATGAATCCATAAAAGGTTAATATTTAGCCACAATATACCCTCTAATGCACATATAAAAATAAGGAACTCTATAACAAGGAAACCATGGTATGTTACAGCCGAAATAACGGATGCATTGCAAGTCCCGTAGGATGGCCAAAAAGGGCACCACAAACTGGTGAATAGAAAAAGCTGATAAAACGAGGATCAATTTTATGGACTCAACGCATTGTTAGCACAGAGACACGCAGAAAGGCCAACCTCAGTTTCTTACATTAATTCTGGTTGTGCAACTTTGGTGCATAATATGGTCTGTTAAGACAAACAGGCTTTATCTGGTAGTATAGATGGGTTAGTGCAACGTGAAATCGGTTTTAAACACAGGGACGAAATTAACGTAATTTGGGATTGCGTTCCACTGCTGACACACACTAAGAGAATAGTAGATCCATAGTCATTCTAGACGTGTTTATTGCCTGGTTGCCTTAAACTGTTGCCCCTCGGAATTCGTGGTGTGTCAGAAATTAAAAAACGGGATAACGTCAGTGCCGTTTGGTACTGAGTTCTTGATTGATTGATCCTTGACGAAACGTGACAAACGGGGAACAACTGACAAACTGCAAGTCCGTGTGCGAGTATGAGTGGTTTTGTACCTTTTTCTGGTAATAGAAGACTGGATACATTAGGAAATCTATCTATGCAGGTGTGTCTGGCATCGGTGAATTATTTGGACGCCACAAAATCTCAGCAATGTACGTGATCTAGCACAATATCCTCAGGGAACTCCAACATTTACATTCCGCTTCATTGGGCAAGAGGCTTCAGTGACCTGTTGTTCATATTAGATTATCCGTTAAAAAGATTGATATATTGGAAGTGAGCAATATGTCCAGTGCAGTTATATACAAGCGGTGATAAACCGTAAAATCAAAAAAATTAGGCCCGAATGCAGACCTCAGTCTGTTGAGTTATAGCATTCGTCTTTTGACTTTAGTGAATTTTTCCTTCAACTGATATGACCGTGTGAGATCACGACCTAATGTAACAAATATATGTTGCATTGATGTAGATAGATTTTGATGAAGATAGATTTTCGAACGTATTTTCAGGAGGGTGATAAAACGAGGATCAGGTGCAATAACTTCGACGCTGTGGCTTTATAATTTGTGTAGAGATAATTGCTGATTTCGCTTGGAGAAACCAGCCGGAATTTGGCGAAACAACATGCCTGTAATGTAAGATCTGAGATTGATAAAATCTGAGTAATTTTCGCCCTAATACTATAACGTTCACGGGCTTTAAGCAATCACAATACCGTGTTTTGCCTAGCACTTGAGATCTCATGCTCACTGCTGAGATATGACTGCACCCAGAACCTGCTGATTCTGTAGTAGCGCACAGGAGTCGTTAAAATTCCCTAATGACCGTCCCAGCGGGAAAGCATGTAGATTGTGTACTAACGCAGTGAATTAAAATATGCGACAGTTTGGGATCCGAAGTCTGTGTGGCGCTTTACCCGTCCTACGAAAAACGAATTGTGCCCTGTGACTGTTATTTACTGTTTTAAGCACCCACGTCACAAAGTGTTTCGCGCTCAATATTTGTCTTGTGTGAACAGGCGCTGCGGGTACGAAAATGTCTTCTTACAATATGACTTAAGTGTAAATGTGAGGGAGTTACCGACATAACTTATTAAACAACCCATTGCAAGCTTTTATACATCTATCTTGAAGATTATCTTCCAAAACCATATCACATAACCCACTAAATTCCATCCTTATTGTACCTTGTGCTGATTATTTACTGCTGGATATAAATAGCAAGAAATATCTGTCTAGCTGCAACTATAATCCCTCAGGTATACTGACGAGCTTCGTCCGCGATCATCTCCTATATTTCGTGTAGATAAAGTGGTAGTAAAGGAATTTCAAATTATGCCCTTTAATTTACTTTGACTATCTGCGGCGGCACCTTGGTCCATATGTAGAGCACTCTCCGTTCGAAGCAGAGTTGGTGAGCGACGAGTTTCAAATCTGGTCCTATAAGCTTGTACCGGTGTCCTCGTGTGTTGCTTGGTGCGGGCATATTAGAGCAGCGGCCTCAACGCGGGGTAATCATGAAAAATGAAATAGCCGGCTCGTCATGATGAAGTCAACTTGCAATCGAGGATAAGACAGGGTGTAATGCGTAGCCTGTTGCACCGGTCTTCGTACGGCACATCGCGTAAAGTAGTGTTCACATGCTTTGCTCGCTCAATCATTTGTACATGGTCCCGGGTGATAGGACAGTGTGCGGGTGAAAAACACTCATAACCTTAAACATATATTTGAGACTAAGAGTCGAATGACAATGTGTTCGGACCAAACGCTTAAATTGCACTTGAGCGTCCAAAATATAGGAAGCGAGTTTTGGTAAAGCATAATTGCGTTGTCTACAGACTTTAGGTTACACCGTGTGCAGTGATCATCTTCGGAACCGTTTTACCGCGACCACTGGCTGCTTTTCGAAGTTCCGACGCTTTTGTGTTTTCGGCTTTTGCAGAGCTTTAACTGTCTCTTGTAGGCCTCATAACCTTCGTCTGAGTCAGAAAAAAATAATATATGATATTATCTGCTTTGCCGCCCAGCTAGATATTTAAAGTTTTCTAAACCAACGTGGTTTAACAAGTCCGACTTCCCAATAGTTGGCGCGCACAAATATTTCACAACCTCTTTAATGATAGTGCAACAGTATTCAACAGATGTATACTTTGGTAACTACCTGTCCATCTAGCTGGTGGCGCGAGTGAAGCCAACCTTCCAATAGTTGTTATCTGCATCCAGCGGAGCAGATTACGGTTGCGATAGCTCCAAGCCGGGTATAAGTGGTCACTCGACCTCAGGGGCTGCAGGAAATAAATGTCATACACATGTTGCTCACAGCTGCTGAAGAACAATTCGGGGGCGAAGTGATGAGCGTCGGCCGATTCATATACTACTGTTTAGCTC